GGCAATATTTAAAACGACAGCACATTTTATTGCACAAAGATTTGAAAACTTTTTTAGAAAGAGAGAAGCTATTTTTTAGAAAGTCATGGTAACATAACAATGGAGTTTTGTAATACAAGTAAAAGAATAATGTAAGTTCCCTTACTACTCCCTTGAAATTATGTACTGTCCTTCTTTTAAGGAACCTGTATGTCATCAGACCATCCTTATGGAAAATGTCTAGCAGAAGCAGCCCTGAGGTCAATTAGGGACAAATAACTGCAAAGACAGAGAAAAGGAACCCACATGGCTGTAAACAAAAGCATGCTCTCCACACTGATTCTGATCAGCAATGTCCAGGAGTGCATATGTGTCAGTGTATGGTCAGGACATTCAAGATGGCTGTTCTCTTGCTCACTGTACATCCCCTGCTCTACCTGTGCCTGCTTCACCTACACCTACTCACATGACTGACCTTCCTACATACTTGCCCCAGGCCCTCACAAATGACGGTTCTAATTTGAGATGAGAACATCTCCGCGAAGACAGATGGCTTATCAAAGGGGTGTTGAGGGGTATGCCCCTCTACTGGTTTCCCTGATAACTGAGAGCCAACCTGACGTTAATTCCCCCTATAACTGGTAACCTCCTCCATCCCCCCGGTAGCAAAGACTGCCACCACATCCTGCCTGACCTCGGATGCACACAGTGGGGTGTCGCTCCAAAACCTTGCTTCAGACATGTAAGATCTCCCATCCAGTAAACCACTGATGTCTCTGTTGCTGACTCCAGGCTCTTTCTTCGGTCTTAAGGCTGGGCAAGTACAGAGCTTGTAGGACTGTGGGGTGCAGCCCAAGAGTCAGCAACAGATATAAATAATGGAGAAGGAAAAAAAGAAGACGAAGAAAGAAAGTGTGCCACGGACCCACATCTATCATGCAACTCCTTTGCTCAAAACTTTACAGAGCACCTTTCCCTTTTTATTACATCCTCATCTCTACTTTCTAGTATCCAAATCTTAGGAGTCCTCGCAACAGCTCTAATCCCGTATCCATCCTCCCAGATGCATCTGTCCACGTGGATTTCTCTGATCCCCTTCCGATCCAATTAATCAATTTTGTCTTCATACTTCATTTACGGTTACATATGAGAACAGCTTATCACCCTAAACAAACTGTGGTCTGCTTCAGTGTTCTGGCACAAACTGTCTCTCAACTATTAAGTGAATTCAATTGCTGATTCAAAGAAACACCTACTGAATAAGGAGAGACAGTGAGAGAGAGAGAGAAGCAGAGAGACAGAAAGAGAAAAGCTCAGACCCGGAAAGAGACAGAGAGCAAAAAGGGCAGAGACAAAAAGTACTCCAAGAGCGGTAATTTTATAAAGATATGAAAAAGAAAAGTCCCAACAACTGCCTCTTCTGCAGACTACATCACAAATCACCTATGCCCACACGACATGGCTCTTTCCCCCACCCGGTGTACCTAACACACAGCGCATTAGGATGACTCACCAGAATGTGAAGAAATTCTGAATATGCCCTTCCTCAGGCTGCCTGCCCAGCCCACTGTTAGCTCCTAACAAATGATGCACACACTGTCGTGTCTGAAATCTGACGCAAAAGCTCAGACATCCTTTGAAAGACTAAAGGCTGTAGATGTATCTACGTACACACATACATACATATGTAATAGAGCAATCATCAAAACCAGGAGGGAAGAGAAATCACCTGGACCCACAAAGCCACCTTATGATCTGCCATAAATTCCCCAATTCTAAAAACAGTATCAAGGACTTCCCTGGTGGCGCAGTGGCTGCGACTCCGCGCTCCCAAGGCAGGGGGCCCAGGTTCGATCTCTGGTCAGGGAACTAGATCCCACATGCGGCAACTAAGAGTTCACATGCCGCAACTAAAGATCCCACATGCCTCAACTAAAGATCCCACATGCTGCAGCGAAGATCCCACGTGCCACAACGAAGACCCATCGCAGCCAAATAAATAAATAAATATTTAAAAATTAAAACTAAATAAAATAAAAACATTATCAGACTCTACGGAATAATGAGACTGTTCTTATTAAACAAATCATCTGCTGTTACAAAAATACCAACATTATGTAGATAAAGAAAGGACAGTGCTTTCAGCTCCAAAAGATTCTTATCAAGTTAGAGTTTCAATTGAAACACCTACTTGAGACAAGACTAGCCTCTATATTAGATTCCCAGAGTCAAGATAATTTCATCATCTGAAGCCATTCTGTTGGGTACTTAGCAACTTCTGGATTATTTTACTTAATTCTGGTATTAGAGCTCACACTTTCCCCAAAGCTGAGGCTTCCTGGATAGTCTGGAAGGTTTACATGACAAAAAAGATTACTGAATGTTACATTAGACCACTTTGGCTTCTAGCTATCTTTAAACATGTAAAAGGATGGAAGAAGAGGCCTGTCAGTTTTTCTATCATTCCTGTTTTCCAAAGGGAAAACTTATGGGAGGAAACCAATATACGTCACTTGGATAGAGTGAATTTCATAGGATCTCTGTTTGCATCTTTGCAACTATTTACAGTAAGAAGCCAACTAACACCCAGAGTGAATTAGCTTTAATTTCCCAACATGCTTAAAACAGCATACAACTTCTCTTCATCTGTAACTTTTTCCATAGCTTCAACGAACCCTTGCTTCCAGAAGGCTTCCCTCGCTCACAACCCTCCCAAGTGGAGACTGCCACTCCCTCGTCTTTCCTCACCCCTACCGCTTCTTTAAGCCAAGAAGTTGTGTCTCTAGCTAATGTGCTAACGGTCCCTAAATCCTCATCTCAGGAGTCTACTTTCTATTCTAATACATACAACTCATCTAAGAACACACATTTTCCCTGTCCTTGTTTTTTATTTATTTCACCACTTTTTTCCCTTGTGTAGGCAACCTCAAGTTCACTGGTCATGAAGACTCTGGCATAAAGTGAACAAATAAACTACTGATACAAGACTTCTCTTCTAATACAACAAACTAGCGAATATAACAAAAAAGAAGCAGACTCCCTGACACAGAGAACAAACTATGGTTACCTGTCGGGGGGAGGGGCAACATAGGGGGTGGGAAGTGGGAGGTACAAACTACCTGGTGTAAGATAGGTTCAAGGCTGTACTGTACAATATGGGAATACAGCCAATATTTTGTATTAACTGTAAATGGGAAGTAACCTTTAAAGACTATTAAAATTTTAAATGCAAAAAAGAAAAAGAAAACATCCTACCTAAAAAAAACAACTATGAATTGATTTTAAAAAAAGACCTCTCGATGATAGACATAAATTTTCAGCTCTAAACAACATCACCTAGGTATCACACAGACGTGTCAAAATCAACCCATACAAAATAGAACTCTTACCCCTCCACCCTGCGCTACAGATTCTGTTTCCTATAGGTCAGCTCTCCAAATTAGAAGCCTCAGAGTTGTTATCAATACGTGCCTCTCGGGACTTCCCCTGGCGGCGCAGTGGTTAAGAATCCGCCTGCCAATGCAGGGGACATGGGTGTTCGAGCCCTGGTCCGGGAAGATCCCACATGCCGTGGAGCAACTAAGCACGTGTGCCACAACTACTGAGCCCGCACGCCTAGAGCCCATGCTCCGCAACGAGAAGCCACCGCATTGAGAAGCCCGTGCTCTGCAACAAAGAGTAGCCCCAGCTCGTCGCAACTAGAGAAAGCCCATGCGCAGCAACAAAGACCCAATGCAGCCATAAATAAATAAATAAATAGATTAAAAAAAAAAAATTACATGACTCTCTAGTACCATCTGTATATAACGAGACACTAGCTCCTGCTGATTACATAAACACGTAGCCGGCTCCGTATCCCTGCTACCTTCACTTTGGCCCTTACCACCTTGCCCTTGAGCTATACCTCAACAGCCTTGTAATGGGCCCCTCCACACGTGGCCGACTTCCATATGGCCACCAGTCATCACTCAAACGGAGATCAACCATGTCCCACTGCAGACCCATTCAAGGTCTTGACAAGCTCCACCCCAATACTACTGCACCCACCCTCCATCCGCACCCTAACCCCCGCCCCACAAATACTCATCATTCTCTGGCATGTGTTAAATTTGAGAGTCTGACTCATATTATTCCCTGTGTCTAAAATGTTTTCCCTCTTCAGTGTCTGGTCAAAGTGTTATGGCCTCTCCGCCTGGTTCCCTGGCACTTGGCCTATCACTTTCCTATCACACGCACCATAATCTACTGCAATCATTCATTACACCGCCCCTTCCCAGCTAGTCTTGAGGATAAAAGTTACTTATTTCCTATACTCAGCAATAGGCCTGGCATATGGCAGACACTCAGTGCTTGTAAACTGAATTGATTAATATGCAGATGGCCAACAACCTCACTCATAATTTAATTCAAAAGCAAACAAAATTGAATTTTTTTTCTCCTCCAAAGGGATAACACAGAGAAAACCATCCTGAAAAATCAGATATACTTGGATTAATTTTCATGAGGCAGAAAGAATTTAGTTTAAAACCTGCATTACAAATTCTTCAGCAATAAAACCACAATAATAGTAAAGCATCTTTACAACATTCGCTTATTCAACACATTTTTTGGAGCATTTTTATGCCAGTCACTCTGCTGGATACTGGAAACTTTGTGCTAAATGCTGGGAGTTCTTTCATGCCAAGATGTTCTCCTATAAATTATCTCACTTTAGTCTCACAACCATTCCATGAGGGAGGCAGGACAGTTATTATAACCCCCATTTGACAGATGAGAAACTGAGATCAGAGAGTTTACGTGATTTGCTCAGGGTCAAAGCCAGTTAAGACAGAGATGCAGAACTACAACAGTTATCTCCTGAACCCAGGTCTGCTGCCTCCTCTACTATTACACCCCTAAAGTTGCCTTTGCACCCTTACTCCCTCGGAAGAAGGGATGAAAATTTAACTTCAGTCTTGGTCTTAAAAGGAAAAGTACAGAGAAATGAAGTAACATGTGCACGGTCCAGGGTCAGGACTAACCTGTTCTCCTTGCACACAGCCACTCTGTCTCCCCCAGGTATCAGCTTCTTCTGTTCAATCACGCCATAGCTTTCTCGACAAATCTATATTTAAGGGGGGAAGAAAGAAACATTTCAATTTTGTAGACCACTTATCTTTCTAGACCCCAAATGACTGAGAGAAGCTTTAGGAACAAATGTAGCTTAATGACTACTTATTACCACAGAACATTCTCAGGAGGAGAAAGGGAACCTGAGTCAGAGAACACTGGGACCTTAAAAGATATCTTTTTATTTTTCTTCATTACTGTTTTTTTTTTAACATCTTTATTGGAGTATAGTTGCTTTACAATGGTGTGTTAAGTTTCTGCTGTATAACAAAGTGAATCAGCTATACATATACCTATATCCCCATATCCCCTCCCTCTTGCATCTCCCTCCCACCCTCCCTATCCTACCCCTCTAGCTGGTCACAAAGCACCAAGCTGATCTCCCTGTGCTATGCGGCTACTTCCCACTAGCTATCTATTTTACATTTGGTAGTGTATATATGCCAAGACATGGAGTTGCCAATAAATGCAATCCAAGAGAAAATGATATGAACTCTAGAAATTATATGTATAGGAGTAAAGAGGAATAATGCTTCAGTAATTTTCTCAATTATATAGATTAATCATTCATTCATTTATTCAACACATTTACTGAACTCCTGTAACATTCAAGACACTCTGACTACCATATGACCCACCAATTCTACTCCTGAGTATATATCTGAAAAAAACAAAAACAGTAATTCGAAAAAATACATGCACCCCAATGTTTACAGCAACATTATTTACAATAGCCAAGATACAGAAGCAACCTAAGTGTCCATCAGCAGATGAATGGGTAAATAAGATGTGACACATGTACACAATGGAATACTACTCAGCCATAAAAAAGAAGGAAATTGTGCCATTTGCAGCAACATGGATGAACTTGGAGGGTTTTATGCTAAATGAAATAAGTCAGACTGAGAAAGACAAATACTGTACGATGTCACTTGTACATAGAATCTAAAAAACACAAACTAGTAAATCTAACAAAAGAGAAGCAGACTCACAGATTTAGAGAACAAACTAGTGGTTACCAGTGGGGAGAGGGAAGAGGGTAGGGACAGTATAGCAGTAGGGGACTAAGGTGTACAAACTATTAGGTATAAAATAAGCTACAAAGACATACTGTACAACATGAGGAATATAGCAAATATTTTACAATAACTATAAATGGAGTATAACCTTTAAAAATTGTGAATCACTATATTGTACACCTGTAACTGATATAATATTATATAGCAACTATACTTTGATTTTTAAAAAGACACTAAAGGGAATTCCCTGGTGGCGCAGTGGCTAAGAATCCACCTGCCAATGCAGGGAACACAGGTTCAAGCCCTGGTCTGGGAAGATCCCACATGCCAAGCTAAGCCCGTATGCCACAACTACTTGAGCCCGTGTGCCTAAAGCCCGTGCTCCGCAACAAGAGAAGCCACCACAATGAGAAGCCTGCACACCACAACGAAGAGTGGCCCCCACTCGCCGCAGCTAGAGAAAGCCAGCACATAGCAACGAAGACCCAATGCAGCCAATAAATAAATAAAATTTTTAAAATAAAAATAAAAAAAGACACTATGACTACAATAATTTGGTTCAGAGAAGTCTCTGAATTTGTTCTTTGATTTGGAGAAAAATTAATGTTAATTGTGACTTATAAGCATGATGAAAGAGACAGCTACAGTCACGAGTAAACTGTGGAAATCCTTACCGTGAAGTTGAGGCAGAAAGTCTCCTCAATATCTTCCCCAGGGTAATCTAAAAGTTCTTGAAGACTCCTAATCACAGATTGACAGAGAAAGGAAATGAGGCAAATCAGACATGGCAATAGTGTTTCTATCTCAGTCACATGCCCACCAGACTGTCTGCAAGGAAATGCTATACAAGAAGATTCTAGAATGAACATAAATCCAGACTGACAGAAAATCATGTTAACTGTATCTTGAAAAGAAATATGGCAGTGAACTTGTAAGACGCTCATTAATCATCCTCTCTTCCTACTGACAAATCTTACTGAATTTATGAAGAAATTCTGATGGAGTCACATCTGACACATGTGTTAACTCTGGTATTCCTCAGAAGTAGATACATGAGGAGACGGTCTTGCAGCGGTCCTTTGCTTTACCCATATGCATTAGTAGAAAAATCCTCTTACCATAAAAAAAAAAAAAAAAAAAAAAAAACC